GTCAATAGAATAGAATAAAAGGAATCGTGTAATTCTCATCTTAAAACTGAGTAGGATATTTATTACATCTCAGAGATCTCCTCTGTCTCAAGAAAAATATATGAATGAATGAGTGTGACAGATATGGTCAACTATCAATATAAAATAACTACCTTTTTGTATCTGATAACTCATCCTCTTTATCTCTCATTTCTCCATTCAATCTCTTCTGTGTTCTCTCACTCTCCTGTATCTTTTCTTCCAAATCAGCCTTCTCATGAGTTAACATTTCTTCTTTACTTTTTACATTCATTAATTCATTATGAACCACATTAATCTCTTTACTCTTTCCATCTAGTAAGGTCTTCAAGGTATTTCCAGATTTCTGTGCTTCTACTGCCACTCTTTTATTTTCCTCTAAAACTTTATCATGAGCTAACTGAATTGAATCAATTTTTGATTTTGACAACATCAATTCTTGTTCTTTCAATCTGAGCTTTTCTTTCAAAGTTTCAATATTATTTTCTGCATCTTTGTAAAGATCAAAAGTTTCTGAAACCAGCTGAGCTTGACTGTTTTTAGTTTGATCTAATTTAGAATTGAGATATTTCAGTTCTTTTTCTTTAAGCTGTAGATCACCTCGAAGTTTTTCATTATCCAGACCAGCTTTCGAGAGCAGATCCTCCATTTCTAACAACAATATTTGACGATCTTCTTCTAATTTTTCTGATCTTCTTAACGCTGACACTAACTGACAGTCTTTGGTTTTTATTTCTTTACTGGCAGTGGTTCTTAGTTTAGATAAATGAGAAGTGATCTTCTGGATTTCTTCTTCTTGGGATGCTATTTTTTGTTTAAAAAGACCAACCATTGGCTCATGGCTTTCATTATTTTTAGACTGAAGTCTTCTAGGAGCAGTCTGAGGTTCAGGTGAGTTGTCTCTTAGTGGAGGTGTCACAGGTATGGGTTTTCTGTTCTTTTGTTGACTTTCATGATGATGTGGTGGTTGATTGAATTGTTCATGTGGTAATTGAGATGTCTTCTCATACTGAGCACTTGGTTGGCTGACAGAAGCCTGAGGTTGCTCTGCAGAATACCCAAAAACTTCTGAGGGTATTGTTTGGACTGAGCTGTTATGCTGGGTAATTGGTTGACTGACAGATGCAAGATGTTGCTCTGAAGAGTATCTTAAAGCTTCTGAAGGTCTGATTGGAGCTGAGTTAGCAACCTGGGTAATTTGTTGGTTGACAGGAGCCAAAGGTTGCTCTGAAGGATATCTCAAAGCTTCTGGAGGTCTGCTAACGGTAGTTAAGTTATCATATTGTGTAATTGGTTGGTTCATAGAAGACAGAGGTTGCTCTGAGGGGTATCTCAATGTTCCATTAGGTTGTGAATAATGGGAATGGTATATCCTAGGATCAGCAAGTTGGTTCATTGTGTGAGGCTGAATTACAGCATTATTTGGTTCTGTATGTAGAATGGTGTTTTCATGAACATTATTAGTATAGGGATGTTGATAGAGTTGCTGGTAAGGAATCACATTAGATTGATTGCTAACCATAGGATTAGCAGCTTGATTAAAATTTTGTGGAAGATGGCTGTTTTGGGCATAATAGATAGAATTCTCAGCCATAAAGTGATGTTGGGTATATTCTGGAGGATGAGAGTTCTGGATTCCGGGGTTATAAGATAAAGGTTGCTGAAGATGATCCTGTGTTAAAGTATTTAGAGGACTTGATGGCATTTGCTGAGTTGGATTGTATCTGAGAGAATCTCGTGGAATCAACAGCATTGGTTTCTGAAACTGACCCACACCATGATTAGATAGCATGTTGCCATGCAGCTGTTGTTCAGGATTGGGAGCTTGAATGTTATGTGAACTCTCATTCAAATGTGCAATGTGATCACTTGCAACAGTTTGAATAGGAACACTAGGTGAATATACACCATTGGATAGAGCTCCACTACTTGTTGAAGGAGTAGAATGGTTTAATGATGAAGATGAAGCAGCAATAGTTGGATTACTTTGAATAGTTTGATGAACAGGATGAGAAGTTAATGGAATCTGATTTATCACTTCATTTTGATTGCCAACAGTTGATTTTATACTGACTGAATCACTAAGTTTTACTGGTTCTTCATAGATACTATTTCTATCAAAAACACTATTCCCTCTTCTGTTATCCACAAAGTTGTGTTTAAGGATTGACTTTGGAAGAACACTTTCAGAAGCAGAATTTTGAGAATCTCTTCTCCTCAGATCTTGATTGGTTGATTGATCATGTAACGAAGATGTGTCATCCACAATATCAGGAGGTCTCCGATGGCTCAACATATTTTCCATTTGACCTAACAAAACTTTCCTTTCTTCACGTAACATTCCAATATCTTTATATGCTTTTTCAAGTTCATGAGATCTATGTTTTAAAGTTTTATCAAGGACAGTCAGAATTTGATTTTGATCCTTGTTTCTTATTTCTGAAGCCTTTTCAATATCTCCTAATACATCCTTAGATTGATACAGAGCATCAGCTGCTCTCCATTGTTTATCACGTGACTGTTCTACCTCATGACTTAGACTATCCACAGCTGCAGTAAGATATTGATCTTTAAGTGGTCCCACTGAAAACCCTGCATCACTGAGTCTAAAATCATCAATTATACTAGGATCACTGTCATCTGTTATTTGAAAAGTCCTACTAAAATTTGATCCAACACTATGATTATCACTATTATCAACTGGACGTTGTTTTCTACGCATCACACGATTCACTTTCTCCGCCTGTTTTAAATCCTCAAGCTCTTTTTCCAATCTTTTATTTTCATCTAAAAATTGCTGAACACTGGGATCTAAAAATGGCCCTGGAGGAGGTTTCAGTTTTCTCATATCATAATCCAAAATATTTACTCTTTCTCTCTTCCTGTTCACAAACTGATGTTCCGATTCTAAATGTGATCTCAACTGATATAAAGTAGGGAAATGTCTACTTTCACACTTGGGGCATCTATATGGAAGATTCATTACATTGGTCCTAAAATCACTCATCTTGGTCTATTGGTATGTGTGTTATCACTTGATTGACTTCAATCTAAATAGAGATAATGAACACTGTAGGAAAATATATATTGAAAAAATGAACAGCTTTCCAATTTAACATTGTTAAGAGAATTTTCACACAAATCATAATTTATAGATCCAAAATTTAGAGCAAAATGTAAAAATTTACAAAAGTACTAAAGTGAACAGTTTTAGAAATAATCTACAGCTAGAAAAATATCTTGTCCAACAGTAAAACTTCCACCTTATAAGCTAATTCAAAATCTGATTCACAGATTATGTTCTGATGAAATATTTTTTATCACTGAGATATTCATTGCTACTCCAATCTCCATAGTAATACAATCTGAGATCTTCTATTGTATTCCAAGTGTTTAATTAGATTGTATACAATATGTAATTGTTAAATAATTAATATATTAATCAGCTGAGAGTTAGACCATCTGTTTTATTATAAATACTTAAACATGTAGGCTATCTGATTCATTCTATCTTAATCAATATGTATTTCTTTACACTTCCTTCTTTATAGTCAAAACTTATTATATCCTAAATTAACTTTATATATACCAACATAAGCAATAATCCTTTAGCAACATTAAAGGGTACACATTAAATAACAAATCCCATTTTATAGTAGAGTAGGCCTACACAACATTTAAAAAATTTACATTGTTATCATCAGTTAAAAAAAAATAATTACTTAACATAAGTAATACCTATAGAATACTGCTGAAATATTCAGGTTTAAATGGTGCAATGTATATAAATATAATAACATACCCTTATTGATAAAAAAAACTTGTCATTACACCCATTTTAATGAAATTATGCCATATTTCTATGCAAAAATCCAAAAGTGCAAAATTTATTTGTAACTTCTTTCTTGAATCCTCATGTTCTTTTAAATTTTTTAGCAACTTTACAAGTGTAGCCTAAGCATTCCTATTTAATACCCTACAATATAAATATTTTAGGTTTTAAAGTCAAGCCATTAAATGATTCATCACTGACAACACTAAAATATGCCATAGTTCGAAGGTGGAATTTTACATTACATGCACATTATAACCTTATAACACTGTATAGAGTCATCTTATTTCCACAGTTAGATATGAATTTAAAAGTATCCAGTTGGCATATATCATCAGTAACTTTATGGATTCAATTAGTTGGTAGGCCTATAAGCTAAATAGAATAATCAACTAGATGAAAGAGAAAGTGTAATTTACCGATATAGTTCTAGATCCTCAATTCAAAAACTTATAATTTATGAATAAACAATCTAAAGTTTACCGTTAGTCAATATAATATAATATACAATATATATATGGTGCCAGCTGGCAGTATGGATTAGTCCATTTTTTTATTACAGGGGAGAAAAGTTTTAGAATAGTCACAGCAGTTTTAAGTAGGCCTATTATATCTGAATGAGGGAATTTTAAAAACGAAAGTTCCATGTGAATAGATAACAGTTCTAAATAGACAATTTTCAATTGAATGATTATGATAAGAAATAAGAAATTCAAATAAGAAAAGTATCTAAAAAGATAAAAATTCATGGTTTCATATTTTGTCTTATGTTGTTAATTTCTAATGATATCAAATAAAAATCTCGGAATCTACAATGAATTTCCGACAAAATTTACGGTTCTTACATTCATATGAGATTACCTATGTCAGAGCCGTATCTGACCTCTCTATATACGGCTCTGACCTATGTAGGCTAATTTATTTTCGGTCTGTAAAAGTTAAATATAGTTACCTCCCCTCAATCGTATTTTTAAAAAAAGAGCACCTGCCGCTAGACGTCGCTATATTTAGCTAACGCTTCATTGATTATCTGGGTCAAATAATGTAGTCTTGATTGTCATACAGCTGTCCTATAGTGTCATATTATGATTTCACCCTAATGATTGTGACTAGTTCTACTTTTATCCGTTACGATACTTTGTAAATAAAGATGGCTTCCTACAATCGTAAACGGAAGCGGGAAGTTCAATCTGATATGGATGATGGTGATTTGAGTTTTACGGTTGAGGGTTGCAGTTTCCTTGCACCAGCTACTTCAAAGAGAAGGCGACAAACTATTCATGGCAGCCAAATCCGTAACTCATCAAAACCGAAATTTGTAAGTCTGTTTGAAAACGGAATTAAGTCAATTAAGAAACATTCCAAAACAAAGTGAAGGAATGGTTGAATTTTAGTCCTGGTTTGGACCATTTTATTTAAGGAAAATCTACAAGACAGCTATTACTATTGATATTTTGAAGTTGATATTTCAATTCATACAAAAGTGATTTTATAAAGTGAATTTTTCGTGAGAATCTACTTATTCATTAAGCACATTTACGACTCAGCACAGGAATGATAAAGTTAAGACTTTATTTTCTTTTACAAGTTTACCCTTGGCCTTACACAAGCTATTCCAATTTCCAAACCAAAGCCTCTAAGCCGGTATCAGGCTATGTGAAGATCTTGTTGAGCCATTAACAACTTTAAAACTGTGTCAATACTTCTCTACTTTTACCACAGACTACACATATCTCTTGTTATAGTAGACTGCTGTAACAATAGTCACTTTCTATTAATCTGAGGATCTGCATACCACTTATATATGAAAATTAAGATATCAAGACTGATACAAATTTGTGTGTAAAGAAGATGGTCATGAGATTCCATATCTGTCATTGAAATAGTTGACTGCCTGACAGTAGTAATTCATCTCCCAAATTGTTTGAATTTTTTTTCAGTCCACCAGCACTATTCAAAGAGGAAAACGTAAAAATGAAGAAAAAGAAGTTCAAGACAATTTACGTGGAACATTACGAAGGCGTCTATCTAGCAAATTATATCAGCATAAAATGAAGAAATTACAGGTAAAACTGATGAAATCTTATATGGATTTGTCGATCTACGCAACTTCTTTAAAATTTACACCAATGATTATAAAATATCTGGTAGTTGTGACAACTTAATAGAATTAAATCAATTTTGTATGTACATACCCTGGTGAAATTTAAGAACTTGAAATTTTGTGTATTTATTTGGATTTTTTTTGTTGGATTATAGGACTACTCATTGCCATTGAAAGAAATGGACAATTTTTCTATCCTGAGGTCAATGAGTTCAAATTGTAAAACCAAAGAAGCTGTTCCAAAGACTAAAACAAAACCAACTTTTACCATGCCCAGTCTTCCTGAAAATGAAGTGTCGAAGCCAAAGAAAAAAGTAAAGGTGAAATCAACTGAAACTCAAAGATTCTATACAGTAGTGGAGTCTGTAAGTATATTTGGCTTTATTTGATTACAGTGTTTTGGAAAACAAGGGTTAAATATCTATTTAAATCAATCGTATGTCTTGTATGCATACAATTTTCAGCTTACTTGTGTAACTCTTGAAAGATAATGTTCTGGAAATTTTAATATCGGTACCGTGACAAAATGTTTTTTTGGATCTATTTGAAACTTACACACATACATCATATCTGGCACCTATTCGTCAGAGTTTTTCTGATATTCATTCTTGAATACGCTTTTGAACTTATAATAATACATTAACAAAATGTTTCCACTGTAAAAATGGTGCTTGATACAATGTAAAAATGTTGAAAGATTGCACAATGAGTAACAACATGAACATATACATAAAATATAGTTTTGGATTTGAATGCTGTTAATCATATAGTTAACAACATGACACCATAGCCTTCCACTCACCCTCGTTTAATATTATTATACACCAACATCACTGTATATGGACCTATATATTATTGGTATTCATTTCAGTTTACGACTGAAATAAGGATCAAGTTCATGAGAAATTTTTAAACAGTTTTCAATCAAAATTTAATTTTTGAAGGCCGTGGCTATTCACCCTTCGACCGTACAAAAATGGGCATTACAAAACATATGGCCATCCCTACCTAACCCTATCAAAGTCACTTAATATCATTTGACTATCAAAATGACTTTACCCTTTAAAAAAAACCCCAAAAACTAGCGTGCCTATTGTGACTTATCTTATCTGTACAAAATTATTTACCTTGGTCCAAGAAAACTAAAAAATACTGCTTCATTTTCATTAAACTTATTATATTGGTGTATTATTGTTGGAAATTTGTGACAATTCATTGAAAATATCTTTCAGTTGACTAAGTCAATTCTAAGTATGTAAGTTGATATTGATTTTTTTAACAGTTTGCCACAAATTAAATGCTTTCTATAGATTGATATAGTACTTCTAAAAACATTTAGTAAAGTTAGTGACAGTCTCTTGTTTTACTTACTTTACAGGATTATCGATAAAGTAGAAAATAGAACAAGTGAACACACAGTGTACAGATGCGGACACGATTCGCTTCTTCTATTTTCTACTGTATAGATAATACTGCATCGACGTCTCCCTTGTATCAAAACAATTAATATCATATAAACAATACGAGAGTTGTTAATAAATTTACATTTTAAGATTAAAGAATTATGAATCATATAATGAATGAGATCAAAACGTTAATTTTTAGTAACATTATTCACATACATATTTGGTTGGCTTATGACTGGTTAACACATCTATATGATAAATATTTCTCCTGTAAAGTTAAACACAATAACATAAGCTCATAATTTTGATGTCAATGTACTCTGCTTATTCAACATTATGTGATAACCAATGAATACAATAAGAAAAACAGCTGTTGAAAATAATTAGATACTTGTATGATTGTTTTTTTTGATTTAACAGCATGGGCTGTCAAGGTCTGTGCATTGTAATATGACATTCCGAGTCCTTGAAATAACTGCAATGATTTTATGGACATATCCTCTTAAAACCTGATTAAAACAGAACCCCTATTGATTTTCACTCCATTAACTTAACATCAGAGGACAAAGGGTTTTAAAGTAATATTGTCTGTACAGTCTATTGTTTCATGTAAGGCTTCTTGAGATTTTGATCTGTTTTTAAGCTTTCTAAGTAGAAAATTGATGGAAAGAAAATTGAAGACTGTGTTTTAAATTGTTTGCCTTTTAATGAACTGATTCAAGGAACTAATCTATTAAAAATTCATAATTTATAAAAGTATATTGTTAACTTCCTTAAAAGTCCTTTTAATTTTTAAATAAATTGATGGCCTCTTGGATGTTCTCAGAGAAAAAGTAATTAGAATTGTTGCATTTTACTATTTATAATGAACAGAAGACTGATGATGATGCCAATTTTAAACAAAAGAATTGAGTTGACTTGAAGCCAATTACTAGTTAAGTCCAAGTTTAGTAGAAAATATTAGTAAAATGATAAAGCCACAGTACCATAGTGTTACCATAGTAACGATGGACAATAGAAGTAGAGGAGGAGTGGATATTAAATTTAGAACTGGGGGGACTGTGGACTATCTCTAGTACAATATAGGACTTTACCAGATGGTTTCAACTATAAACTGTTAAACAAGTGCAGCACACATGTCATTGTATACACCAGAAACTAGTGGTGATAAAGTTGAAGATGTAATATGAGTAGGGGGAATAGAGAAGGAGGGTAAAAGGACAGTATTAAAGTGTTAATGTTAAGCTTCAAGTGGTAATATTTAATATTTTGATAGTAATACTACATAAGTTGACATAAATTGGTGTAATTTGGTGATGATTAAATGTTATATTAATGATAAAATAGTGAACTTTTCACATGTCAGGATGGTATACTGACTAACTGTAAACCAACACATGTCAGTTGATAAAACAATAACTGGTCAAACTATTGGATTATATTTTCTCTAGGATATAGTATTCAACATGATGGTAAGTCACAAATTGCTTTCAAATTCTTTTCTCTATCTCATCATGTTATGGACTTACCATGAAGAATTATTATTGTGTTCAGAAACTTCAGCATTGCTTTTTGACTATCACAAAATAATCCTGATATTTTGTTAACTCTTTTGAGCTTTATCTGTTGATAATACAATAGCTATATAAGTTAATGTAAATGATTCTCAGAAAAGATGAGATTTCTGTTGACTGAATCAATCTTATCTGACATACAACATAATTTAAACTCTGAACCTAACTATATATTTTTAAATTCTCATTAAAAATATATTAATTTATTCAATGATTATTCGCATACTAGGAGAATCATAATACTGCTGATGAATATATCTTTATGGAATATGGAACTTTCTCTAAAAGGCTTGATAGTCTGTTTAGCCAATTAACTACCTCGTTATAATCTAACGTAATTAATTATGATCAATATTTAATTATCAACCCAAACAGGAAAAGCTGAAAATATCTGTGTAGAATTGGCTTAACTACATTTATCCAACGTGATTTTTACTCCATTCACCAACCTTTTTGTTTTCAAACTGACAAAACAAACGTTGAGCCATTCAAGTTGATGAAGGCATCGTGACTATCTGTCAATCTCTTCTAATCAAATAAACAATCCAGTTAAACTCCTGATAAAAAATATTTGGGAAAATTTAACTCTAGTGTTAACCTTTTAAAACAACAACCATTTCACATATATTTTACTATATTGACATTTCATTATAAAAAACATTCGGTGGTTTCTGAAGTTAGTTGGGCAATAGATTTAAACTGAGAATTCAAATTGTCCAATCACAGTGGAATGGTCTTTATTTTGGTTGAGTTCCTAGTATTTCTGTGTCAGTTTGGCATTTCAGTGACCTATTTTTTAGTGAGAGGTGAAATTGATGTTAAATGTTAAAGGCCTCCTGTGATAATAGATAAATTGGTTAAATTATAACATGGTTTTACTTAAAAGATGTCATGTACTTCATAATAAGCTTACTCAGGTAAAAACTCTCTTTAGCTCTTGGCCCATTAGTTATCCATTTAAGTTTATACAACTTTACATGTAAACTAATTGATGTCCAGTGTGACCCAGCTGTAAATGAGCACGGATAATTCAGGAAAGAACAATGCCAAGAGGTTTGGCCAAGCTGGAAGAAGGAGATCCTTTTGGAACCTAAGTTGCCATCCTTGTAAAATATAGTTCTTTCTTTCTATAGCTTGGATGTTGTCCAAACCAAAAATAATATTTAGTACAAACAGGTTTTTAATCCATAGTAGAGTTAGTTTCCCTTCTGTGATGTCCATCAGGCTCCATCAATCATAAATCAGAAGTGAGTAGAAATAGCTGAGTTAGATTGTTTTATGATGTAGACAATGTTTACAACTAGGTACAACAGTAAATAGTATATGTAAAGAATAAAAAATAGTATTAATGATGACAAACAGGGATTGGTGGTTACATCTTTTATTTTGGGTGGTTTTTATTTAAACAGATCCTGATGTAATTCTGCCTACTACTTTGTGAATCATTTTATTTTATTCAAATGAAGATTTAGTTGTTATTGTCCACGTACAGGGTGTTAGACTCTCTGTTTATATTGTGTTATAAATACTGTCAGTGAAAGTATATGAGTCAGTAAGAAGGTAACAGTAGTTATAAATATCAACACTAATTATATTTTGTTAATTAACTAAGTATGAAAATGAGTAGAGAAGAAGATAATAATACTATGTGTGATATTCAGATCACTGTTACAGATGTCGATCTGGATTTAGATATGGATTTAACAGCCACTTTAGATGAGGCGGTATGTATTGTCTTTTTTTCAATGATAGTAGGATGGACGTTTTATTCAAATCAACATCTGGAAAGTTTAAAATGGAGGATAGGGCTTAACTTTTTACCTTTAATGATTTGTTGAAAATTGTTATTCAATGGTTATTAAGTCTAAAAGATAAACTATTACACTAATCCACATATTTTTACAGGTACAAGTATCTATTTTACATCACTAAGCCAAATTCTAAGCCTGCTTCTCAACTTTAAATTCTATTGTCAGTCGTTCATGATGAGTTTGGGTGTACAATTAAATTGAATGAAAACAACCATTGTTAAATATAGTATTTACAATCAGAATGTGATTCAATTTCCTGTGTTCAATAAAGATTTCTGTTTCATTTTGAGTAATGAATAATTGCTATTAATTGAATGTCATCAAAGAGACCCAAGACTAGAAATTTGAATAATGACATGTAATTTGAATGTTGTTAAAAAGGTAATGATTTAACTGACATCCTCAACAGTTAACATGTATTTAGACAGAGTCATTGACCTTTATCATTAATTTGATTACACCACCCTACACCCCTTGTACCTCTGGGGATGTTAGAAATGTCATAATGATAGTATTGAAGCCATCAATCATGACTAGATTAGGGTAATCATCAGTAAACATTGATAATGAGGATGGTGTTATCTTTTATGTAGAGGTGTGCAGTATGGAAGTTTATTTTAAAGTTTGATTTTGATTTTTGTGATGAAATTTTCAGGCTTGCCTTGCAATTTAGAAATGATTCAGTTATTTTGACAATCCCATTTATGCCAAAATTTTTCTGTTATTTCAATTTCTACAAAATCACACATTAACCTATGGGCTGAATGATAGACATGAGCATGTCATTTCAGTGTAATGGGCCAAATTCTTACCCATGTGAAAGAAAGGTTTATCATTATTATAACCTGATAGCAACGTAACACAATTTTGTGTGCTCTCTACTCTCAAGTGTCTGGGAAGTATTTTGTTACTCTGCGAAATTCTCAGGGAATAAGCACACCTCTATTATATAGTACCGGTATTGAAAGTATCTAAAGGATATTCAGACTAAACATTAGATAAGTTTAGTTTATCATAATAATACACACTTAAGCCTTAAATTAAATATGTTTTTATACTGATAATTTTAATATCTATCATTTCCTCAACATTTCACCCGTTTTCTGTTATTTCAACACAGTTTGTTGGTTTAGTCTATTTATTCTGAAGTTTTTCATTATTGAGTCATTACGAATTCCTGTTTATTCTGAATGACAAAAACAGACAAAATACCTGTATCATAGTTTGAATTCTTGACAAGTTTTGTTCTTTGTAACCTGTGAATTGGAGTACTGTATACAGAGGATAGTCTGTATGAAATAATATTATTATGGATCTTTATGATATTTCGGTAAGCTGTTCTTATTTTTTAAAAGGAGAGAGAATATTACATGTTTTAATTGAAAAATATGCACTTTTGGTGATGAATATTGTTCATACATACATGAGCAAGCCAATATATTTATTAATATCCAGAGCTTATTGTCAGTATTTGTCTGGGACATTATACTGGACTTCTTCTAACCTCAGAGAGTATCTTATATAAAACCCATGACATCAGAAATGATAAAAGGATATATCCAAATGAGAATCCATATTAGCACTGGTTAGAAGATGAAC